GCGTTGCCCCGGGCACTAGCAACCCATGCTACACCACTGCGGTGAATAGTCTGGTCCGGAGAGAGGTGGCCTAGGAGGGTGTGCAGCCTGATTTTAACCAATAGTAGGGACTGTTCCATAGCTCAACCTATAGCTTCCACTTTGACCTACGATAATACAATCCACCAGCCAGGAAGAAGCTGAAAACAAAACAAAGAACTTTATTGCTGATAATCGACTGGAAACAGTAAAGAAAAATGATAATAGCAAGACAAGTCCCATACTCATCGCATTATAGCGTTATGAGTTTGTGGGTGCCTTGACCTGCCTTCTAATTCCTGGACCACACTTCTAATTCCCAGGTGCTGGACACTGGATTTAGCATGTTAAAATCAAACCAGGCATGTTCAGGGGATCACCTAGGATGGGCCATTAAGGAAGAAAAAAGGAAAGTGATAAGCCGTTAGGGATCTTGTGAGAGAGAGGTGTCTTTCCTTGAGTTGGGTAGAAGAATAAAGACCCGTAGTAGAGTTTCAGGTTTGCAATTTGCCCTGGTGTGTTCTAAAGCAGTGTTCCCCAACCTTGGGCCTCCAGCTGTTTTTGGACTACAATTCCCATCATCCTTGACCACTGGTCTTGCTAGCGAGGGATGATGGGAGTTGTAGTCCAAAAACAGCTGGAGGCCCAAGGTTGGGGAACACTGTTCTAAAGGAAAAGTCGGAAAGCTGTGAGGCAATGGAAAAGCCATCTAGGCAGCTGCCTAGTGCAAAATTAGGAGTTATGGAGGGGGGGGGGAGCAAGGCAAGCTGCAGAGTGACAGGAAGGTAGGTTAATAGCTGCTTGAACCCAGGACTGTGCCTATGAGACCCTCTTGAATGTAATGCTGTACACCCCTCTATCCGAGATTCAGGTTGTATATATGTGTAAATAATCCACATATGATAAAGACACTACAGTCTTTGCTGTGCCTCATTTCCAAAGGAAACACAAATCCTAGGCAAGCGTCTAGAATCCCTGGAATCTCGCACAGCTGTGGCGATTGGGCTGGTGTGTTACAATAGCAATTTATCTTTGTACATTTATTTACCTTGCCTTCCTCAAGATCCTGATGCCATTAACCAAACAGCAAAAAAATGCTTAAGCAAATCCACACCCGAGAAGTGAGAGTTTGAGACTTCTGCTCCTGGCTAATTTTATGTGTGATGAGGAACACACTTTTAATATGCATGCAAATTATATTGTGCCCAGCTTTACTGATAAGCAGAGATATCAGGTCCCTCTTTATTGTGTAGAGAAGAATGACTCAGCAGTCTTCTTTCCCTAGTACCAGGAAACGGAATCTGACTTTGCAAATCAGGCAGTAAATCTGACAGAGATCCCTTTCTTATCTCTTTGGCACTGCTAGCAATCATGACCGTATTCATGTGTGTGCGTGCATGCTTATACCCCTCCATCCCCCCACCCAACAAATTCCATTGATGCAAATAGACAAAGAACAAGAGAAATAAAAAAATGTGTTTGTTTTGTGTAAATCCTGTTTCTCAAGTCCAAAAGATCTCCCCCAGAGTGACTTGTAAGAAAATTAAGCACAGCGAAAGCATTTAAAAAGAGAGCCGCACAACAGTGACATAAACCATTAGACCTGCAGTAAATATAACTGAATTAAAAATAAATAAATTGGAAACATAAATAGACCCTTGGCCTAAAGGATCAACAAATCGAAAAGGTGTTTCAATTGGCACAGGGCAATGGAATGTCATGGGCAAAAAAGACATAATTCTCACTGCCTAGTAAGCCTCCTTGGAGAAGACATTCTCAAGCCAAGGGGCTGCATGAAAAAAGCCCCTTTGCAAGTTGCCTCACCTCTGAAGGCAGGAAGGCTTGAAGAAAAGTCTCAAAGGATGCTCTGAATACTTTGGCAGGGTCTTGTGGAAGAATGTGGAATCCTGGAGCTAAAAGGTAAAGGTACCCCAACCATTAGGTCCAGTTGCGGACGACTCTGGGGTTGCGCGCTCATCTCACTCTATAGGCTGAGGGAGCCGGTGTTTGTCCGGAGACAGCTTCTGGGTCATGTGGCCAGCATGACTAAGACGCTTCTGGCAAAACCAGAGCAGCGCACAGAAACACCGTTTATCTTCCCGTCGGAGCAGTACCTATTTATCTACTTGCGCTTTGACGTGCTTTTGAACTGCTAGGTGGGCAAGAGCTAGGATCAAGCAGCGGGAGCTCACCCCGTCGCGGGGATTCGAACCGCCGACCTTCCAATCGGCAAGCCCTAGGCTCTGTGGTTTAGACCACAGTGCCACCCGTGTCCTTGACAAAGTAATAATCATAAATAAATAATAATAATGTGCACCCCACCCCTGAGACCATTCCATTGTAACTATCCAACCTCCCAAAATTTCAACACCTCTCGCGATGGTCTAAGCAGCTTAGTCATGCTGGCCACATGACCCGGAAGCTGTCTGCGGACAAACGCCGTCTCCCTTGGCCTATAGAGCAAGATGAGCACCGCAACCCCAGAGTCGTCCGTGACTGGACCTAATGATCAGGGGTACCTTTACCTATTACTTTGTCAAAATAAAAGTAATAATAATTTTTTAAATAATAATAAAAACGAGCACTCCCGCCACATTCCCAAAGGCCACCCAGCTTTGGGAAGAGGCAGCAGGGCTCCAGCATCCTGTGAGAGATCCGGCACTTCTTTCCCAAAGCTCCGGAAGCTTCTACCCAGCTTTGGGAGGGAGGAACGATTCTCACATGCACGATGTCAGGACATTGCCCCCCCCCATCATCCTCTCAAGCTGCTGCCTCCGGCCCTAAGTGTTCCCCTATGAAAAAAAAATCACTGCACTCTACTGATGCTCACCCCTGGTGGCCTGTTTGAACAGTGCCCCCCCTTTCTTCTTTTCCACGACACCCTTAATTATTACAACATGTGTGTACACAGTGCGACTGAGCAAATTATACAGATGGGGGAAAAGTACTTCTTGGGTAATTTATGAGTCATGTTTTGCCTAATTCTTCTGCTGAATGTAGGTTAGCGGGTCACCGCAAAGAATTCTCAGAAATGAATTTCCCCAAATATCCGGAGTTCTTAAAAAACACAACCCAACCCAAACAAAAGCAGTCAGCCACACCATCCTTGCCCTGCTTTGGACTGGAACAGTTTTACTGCTTGTACAGCTGTCATTGTTTTGCTTGCTTTTATAACTGGATAGCGTAATGTTGTAAGCTGACCTCGGCTGAAGGGCGCGTAGGAAATCTTAAAAATAAATGCATCATTTAATACTAACAGAAAATACACACACACACACAGACATACACACACACACACACACACTGCTTTTTCTGGGGGGATGCAGGGGTACGCATATTATGCCTAAACATTTTGTAAATCTAAGTTTGGCCTCATTGACAGACAGTATTTCAACATGAGTAGGAAAATGAGAGTACCCCCTAAACATTTTTTATAGAAAAAAAGCACTGTGTGTGTGTGTGTGTGTATACACGCACACACATTTATATACACACACACATATACATATATACAGTGGTGCCGCTAGACGAAAGGGTTTTTCGTTTTTTGAGGTGCTTCGCAAGACGAATTTCCCTATGGGCTTGCTTCGCAAGATGAAAACGTCTTGCGAGTTCTTGCGAGTTTGTTTCCTTTTTCTTAAAGCCGCTAAGCAGCTAAGCCGTTAATAGCCGCTAAGCCGCTAAGCCACTAAGCCGTTAATAGCCGCTAAGCCGCTAATAGCCGCTAAGCCGCTAATAGCCGTGCTTCGCAAGACAAAAAAACCGCAAGATGAAGAGACTCGCGGAACAGATTAATTTCATCTTGCGAGGCACCACTCTGTGTGTGTGTGTGTGTGTGTGTGTGTGTGTATATATATGTTTGTGAAATGGTATTCTGCCAGGGAGTTTCGGAATTTTCAGTCTGCCTATGTTTTTGCATAATTGAATGCAAGTTTCTGTAAAATTTTATTTATGCTAACTGATGTTAGCCTTGACACAGATCTGATTTCCCCTCTGCTCGCCAAGCTCTTTCTCTGTGATGGTTGGATGCATAGATGCAAATAAACACATCTGAATCTTGTGGAGGAACTGAGGCAAGGCCTATCATTTGGCCAATTAAGTCAGCTGCCTCAGGCAGCTGGTTTTTCGGGGGGTTTTTGCAATGGGGTGTGTGTCATGAAACGGCAACAGTCAAGATCCGAAAAAGTACTGACTGTTCATTGTCCACCTTTCTCAAGAGAAAGGCTGTGCTTTTATTCCCATGAAGCCTAGGAGCTTTAAGCAGGTTGGCAGCCAAAAATCTTGATCTTCTGAGAGAAGGCAAGATCGTGGATTACCCAAGGAGCAGATCAGGTCAAAGGAACTGCTCTAGTTGTTCCCTTTGGATCAAATAACAATTTTAGATGTTTGACTTGCAGGTTTGACTTGCAAGGCTGTATTATTCAGGGGACCCAAAGAGACCAGTCCACTGCCACCCTGAGTTGGTGCCCTTGTGCATTAAGAACTTTGACAGGTGAGCAGGGCAACACAGCTGTCAATCATCTGATGTTATAAGGACAGAAAAGGTTCTGGACCAACATTTTCTCTCCACCGTCTTTAACCCAACGAAACCAGTAGTTTTCTGGACATCTAACTATATTATGAATCCTGGTTACAGGTTGTTTTGGTCCATAAAGGGGTGGGGAAACTGTGGTTCTCTAATGTTTGCTGGGCTCCTCACCCCCATCATCCCTGACCCACAGATAGGCCGACAGAGGCTGATGGAAGCTGGGATAACAACCTTTGGAGGGTCACAGGTTTCCCATGTCTATCCCAGAAGAACAAATAATCCTACCTTCTTTTTTAAGGATTGGACTTTCAGAGTGCCCTTCTCTGCCGCTGATAATGTCTGAACATATGCTTGTCATTGTCATACATAATAACTTTGTAAGAAGAGTGCCTTTTATTCCTTAGACACACAGTTTAAACTAACGGCTTTCCCCCCCTCATTTTTCCTCCTTCAGGGATTTCTTTGCAGAACACAAACTTCTAGTAAGTATAACCTTTTCACTGTTCTAGAAATTAAAGTATTCAAATACCTAAGTGGACTTCAAAGCTACTTTAGACCTTGCCGCTTGAAATTGCCTGCTCAGCTGTAGACATCACCAGTGATTCTCAACGGTTGGCTTGCCAAAATACAGTGGTACCTCGGGTTAAGAACTTAATTCATTCTGGAGGTCCATTCTTAACCTGAAACTGTTCTTAACCTGAGGTACCACTTTAGCTAATGGGGCCTCCCGCTGCCGCTGCACCGCCGCCACATGATTTCTGTTCTCACCCTGAAGCAAATTTCTTAACCTCAGGTACTATTTCTGGGTTAGCGGAGTCTGTAATCTGAAGCGCATATAACCTGAAGCGTATGTAACCCGAGGTACCACTGTATGCAACAACACATGAAAGACTTGAATAGCAGCCTTAAATCTAATATAAAAATGGGGCCTGGCTTTTATACAGAGACACTATTAAGCAAAGGAACACCTCCATGTGGAAACTGAGGCTTCTGCATAAGATCTCTTAGTTCAGCTGTTAGTGACCGGTGGCGCTGTGGGTTAAACCACAGAGCCTAGGACTTGCCGATCAGAAGGTTGGTGCTTCGAATCCCCGCGACAGGGTGAGCTCCCGTTGCTCGGTCCCTGCTCCTGCCAACCTAGCAGTTCGAAAGCATGTCAAAGTGCAAGTAGATAAATAGGTACCTCCAGCGGGAAGGTAAACGGCGTTTCTGTGCGCTGCTCTGGTTCGCCAGAAGTGGCTTAGTCAGGCTGGCCACATGACCCGGAAGCTGCATGCCAGCTCCCTCAGCCAGTAAAGTGAGATGAGCGCCGCAACCCCAGAGTTGTCCATGACGGACCTAATGGTCAGGGGCCCCTTTATGTTTACATAGAAATTACCATTCCATCACCACTGAATATTTGTGCTTCCTACTTTCTTAATGCCTAACATCAGCAGCTTTCAAACTTTCTACCTTCATGGGCTGCTATCCACTTCTGCATCCCCCCCCCCCCGTCTATCCCAGGGATCATAGAATCACAGAATTGTAGCGTTGGACAGGACCGCAGGGGTCACCCAGTCCAACTCCCTGCAATGCAGGAATGTTTTGCCCAATGTGGGACTCGAATCCATGTCCCTGAAATTAAGAGTGATGGATGGCCCAACCTATTTCCAGTCTATGTCCATTTCACAAGTGCTGAATCACAGGGCCAGTCAAGTCCCAATTTTGTGTGTGCGAATAAAACAAACATGCAAAATTTTCATGTAAACTGTATGCACTTTGTACTTATGGCAAACACATTCTTCCTTTAAAATGTATATTTCTGTTTGTTTCTCAATGCCTCTCCCAGTATGCATATTTTTTTGGGGGAAAACTGCAAAATTTGGAGAAGTGCATACTCTGATGGATAGCTGTGTTCTGATGTGCATACATAAATCAGAAACCAGCAAATTAGATCGGTTTGATTTAAAATGCTCACCAAATGATTTTATCTTCTATCCCTAGCCTATACAGTGGTACCTCAGGTTAAGTACTTAATTCATTCCGGAGGTCCGTTCTTAACCTGAAACTGTTCTTAAGCTGAAGCACCACAAGCCTCCTGCCGCCGCTGCGCTGCCGGAGCACGATTTCTGTTCTTATTCTGAAGCAAAGTTCTTAACCTGAAGCACTATTTCTAGGTTAGCAGAGTGTGTAACCTGAAGCGTATGTAACCCGAGGTACCACTGTATCACAGAATCCTCTGTGTCACAGAGGACTCTTGGAAGAGGTGTATGTTGTAGGAAACCCACTCAATTCATATAGAGAGTTGGTCAGACATGTTGGGTCTAATAATCTCAGGAATCGTATTGCACGCTCTGGAACATACCCAACCCTTCTGTGCCACTGAGCTTGTCGTATTATTTATTTCATTTAGGAATCGCTTCCCCTAAACAACCCGAAGCGATTAAACCATAAAAACATCAAGTACATCTCTAAAACAGTTCCAAGTCCAATACAGATACAGATCAAGCCAGAATATCAGGGACAGACTCCCGCTTGTTCATCTCTCAAGAAAGTTGTGCTAGGCAAACTGCCTTTGGGAGAAAGATCTCCGTCATTTCTGATCTTCCTTCTGAAGAATCCCTGATAAGCTTCCATACATCCTCAGGATTCCCCAGAACGCTTATATGAAAATTCCCATAATAGCCTTGTGGCACCTTGTGGCATTCCTCCACAGTGAGTAGCACGCATTTGTAAGAATATCCACATTCAGTAGTTCTTGTATTGATCTAATGAAGGTGATGATTGTATTTTGACTTACTGGTTGCTTAGTACAAAAAGTTTCCAAGCAACTTTTGAAAAGGTTAAAAGCCCAAAGATGCCCCAAACCTAATAATAACCCATCAATTAACCCACCAGAAGAAGCGCCAGCACCAGAAACATTTAATCCAATAGGCCCTCCATCAGAGTTGTGTGAAATAAGATCAGTAGATGAGAAATCTTTCGTGTCCGTGATAACCAAAATATGCAGACCAAATGGTTTGGAAGGCTATGGTGCCCTCTTGTGTAAATCTGCCATTTAGCCACAGCTTTGCAGGAGTCCTTCCACTTTGGAATTTGAATCCTCAATCCAATAATAATTCCCCAGAAATATCTAATGGGCTTGACACTGGACGAAGAAAACCCCAACATCACTAAGTGTGCTATTAGTTTAGTTCCCCCCACAAGATCATCAGAGCAGCTCAGGTCCTGTGGGCCAATGGCATGCAAACTTTGGTTTGTCTAATATTGGACTCCAATTCCCACCATCCCTGAACCGTGGCCAACTCTACTGATGGGAGTTGTAGTTCAGCAAACATCTGGCGGGTCACAGCTTCACCACTCTAGGCTCAGTGGAGCCAGTTCTGATCTGACGCAGCAGAAAGGGCAAATATTGAGTTTTTGTCTGCAGAAGAAACCATGGGTATGTCAAGGCATGAACACCCCTATTCTCTTGAATGCTTCCTAAATGCTTTGCAACCCAACCTGGCTATTGCACTTGCTTTTAAAAACATCCCCCCCCTCTCTCTCAAATAATTTTATTGGTCTTCATGTAAATACAAGAACAACATATAACTTCTGTAACTAGTCCAGTGGTACATTCGTAAAAAGTTTCATATGCAGTACACATGTGCAGTACACAGGACACAAGGAATATGTTTATTTATGCATTATCAATTCCATACTCTCTAATGGTTCCACGAAGAAAACAGGGACGTCCCATCCCATAAGGATAATTTTACTATTTATACCCTACAGATCTTACCGGGTTGCCCCAGCCACTCTGGGCAGCTTCCAACATATATAAAAACATAATAAAACATTAAGTATCCTCTCCACAAAGATTATTGTGTTGAGGGTGGAATAAAAGCACCTTCTGCCTCATTTATAAAGGAAAAGAATGGAAGCCAAGTCTCGTCAAAAGTGTCCATCTTGGAAGTGCCTTTAATTACCCTTCTGTGGCGAGGAAGGCGTTCCCATAGAGCCACATTCCAAATATTATTTACCCAGATTTCAGTGGGGATTTCTTTAGGTTGTTTCCAGTATCGGGCTATTGTTAACCAGGCTGCTGATAATACGAGCCTATCTCTATAGCCTTTCCACAATAAGGGAGAAATTGTAGTGTTTATTTTGGCTAGACATGGAGTCCAGTGGCAGAGAATGAGAACTCACACTTTACATTGTGGGTGCCCTTTGCAGGATCGCGTGCGGTGCTACAGTTCCCAGGGAGCTTAATGGCAAACAGGGGCACCCAGCCTCAGCAGTCAAGTTTCATTGCTGGGAGGTGGAGCCAGTCCCATTTATATATAGTGGGTGGAGCCGACAATAGCCAGGCAGTTGGCTCTGGAGATTCACCCTCCCTCCCCTCCCTTTGTTTAATGTTTTCTTATTTGCAGGTTAACTTTTTCTTCTTGTTTAGCGGGCACTGCTGTGGTCTTTGCTTGTTTGCTGTTGAAGGACTGCGAAGAACTTTTCCTGCATTGGCAGGTTTTGTCTTCCCTGTAGCAATTTGCCACAAATTTGGCGGTTATGGCCTTGGGTGGAATCCTTTGGTCTTTTCTTCCCTATAATTGGGGGGGGGGGCATGAAGTGGGGACTCACCCCCCTGCAGTGGAGATTCCAGGGTCCCCTCTTAAAAGGGGTAATATAGTGGGTGTCACTGGCTATACACTGAAAAGTTGTCAGTGAACTACCCTGTGTGCGGGGATATGGGCTTACGTCTCACATTGCACCCCCATATCCCATTTACCCTGATGCACCCCAGTTCCCCCGGCTGGGGGGCTGGGAGGGGTACACGCCCAAGTCCTAAGCCAAGGTCTTCCTACATTCGGTATTTTAATAAATTTGTGGCCTAATTTTAATTCCATATACAGTGGTACCTTGGGTTAAGTACTTAATTCATTCCAGAGGTCCGTTCTTAACCTGAAACTGTTCTTAACCTGAAGCACCACTTTAGCTAATGGGGCCTCCCGCTGCTGCTGCACGATTTCTGTTCTCATCCTGAAGCAAAGTTCTTTACCCGAGGTAATATTTCTGGGTTAGCAGAGTCTGTAACCCGAAGCGTATGTAACCTGAAGCCTTTATTCCTTCCTTATGATCCCTGGGGGGCTGGGGCTGTTACCGCCTGGTCACGCAAAGATAATTTGAAGAGAAGCCTCCTGCCAACGAGCAGAGATTTTTCGTAGGGACAACGCTTTAAAAAAACATTTTCATGCACCTTTTAAATATATGGGTCTACCCACAGGTGGTATTCTTAACAGCTTCTGCCATCCTGCTCCTGCCTCTCTCTCTCCTGCCACCCTGAGAAGCATGAAGCTGTGGACCGCCATGAAGTGTGCAGGACAAAGGCAATGCTCTCTTCTCTTGAGTGTTAAGGGGACGCTACATCTTGAGGGTAAGTAGGATTCAATGTGGAATCTCTGCAACAAACAGGTCGGGCGCCATGGCAGGATGGCGACAATGCCTACTCTGGATCTGGCAGTTGTGCTGGAGGCAATGGGTTTTCCTGGGCTTCGGTAAACCCTTTGGTCAGGGACCGTGCTGAGGAAGGCTCCCACCCCCTCCCCCTGACCCTGAATCTTCCCAGGAGCAGGAGGACAGTATAGATTTGGAACAGTGGTTTGCAGAGGGGCACAGTTCAGAAGGCAGAAGCTGGGAAATACTGTATGGGGAGCAGCTAGCAGGAGAAATACTAGAAGAGAGAGAGAGAGTTAACCGATTCATTCCTCCGCTCAGCCCAAGGTCAAGAAGAGCTCAGAAAATCTCAGAAATAGGGCCGGATTTAGGTTTGATGAGGCCCTAAGCTACGGAAGGTAATGGGGCCCTTTATATGTCCAGCTGTCCTTTGTCAACAGCAAATTGTCACTGTTTGTTGTGTTGAATATACAGTGGTACCTCAGGTTAAGATCTTAATTCGTTCTGGAGGTCCGTTCTTAAGCTGAAACTGTTCTTAACCTGAGGTACCACTTTAGCTAATGGGGCCTCCCGCTGCCGCCGCGCTGCCGGAGCACAATTTCTGTTCTCATCCTGAAGCAAAGTTCTTAACCCGAGGTACTACTTCTGGGTTAGCGGAGTCTGTAACCTGAAGCGTCTGTAACCCGAGGTGCCACTGTATGCTATATGGTAATTTATGGACCTAATAGGTATCTAAAGCCATTTGCACATGACGAAATAGGAGCCTCCACAACACAAAACACTGTTGCTGTATGTAGGTTTTATTTTATTTGTATATATTGGAAATGTACATCCAGTTTTTCCCCCTTTAATTTTTTTGGGGTCCCTCAAGAGAGTGAGGCTCTAAGCTACAGCTTGTTTAGCTTATACGTAAAATCGGCACTGCGCAGAAAGCACAGAAGGTACAAGCTCAGATTACAAGATGTAGGAGTGATGTAGATTAATAGGGATGGAAGAGGATTTGATCCTTGATTGGGAGCACCACCATTCTGATTAGATGCTTTCTTTTGTCCTTTGTTGTGTTTATTAAAGAAACTAACTGGTAAGAGAGGGACACGGGTGGCGCTGTGGGTTAAACCACAGAGCCTAGGACTTGCCGATCAGAAGGTCGGCGGTTCGAATCCCCACGACGGAGTGAGCTCCCGTTGCTCGGTCCCTGCTCCTGCCAACCTAGCAGTTTGAAAGCACGTCAAAGTGCAAGTAGATAAATAGGTACCGCTCCGGCGGGAAGGTAAATGGCGTTTCTGTGCGCTGCTCTGGTTCGCCAGAAGCAGCTTAGTCATGCTGGCCACATGATCCGGAAGCTGTACGCCGGCTCCCTCGGCCAATAAAGCGAGATGAGCGCCGCAACCCCAGAGTTGGCCACGACTGGACCTAATGGTCAGGGGTCCCTTTACCTTTCCCTTTAACTGGTAAGAATTCCCTTTCATTTGATCTGCTCATTTACGGCCATGGGGGAGGAAGCTGAATCCCCGAAGCCTGGCACCTTTTTGGCTTCACCCAGGCTCAGAAAGTGGATCGCAGCCTGCCTGCCTATTTGGCCAATGGCATGTGGGCTGCGGGGTTGAGCCCTGCCCCTTGGAGGATTGGATTAATCCAGCAGGCTTCACTCTGGTCCGCCCCATGGGTTTTTAATTCCAGGGCCTAGTCCACCTCCTTGACCAGTTTTGATAAACATGTTTCACCTATGTTCCAACAATTCTGTGATGAAAATAGGGATGTCCTATTCAATAATAGGGACACGGGTGGCGCTGTGGGTAAAGCCTCAGCGCCTAGGACTTGCTGATCGCATGGTCAGCGGTTCGAATCCCCGCGGCGGGGTGCGCTCCTGTTGCTCGGTCCCAGCGCCTGCCAACCTAGTAGTTCGAAAGCACCCTCAGGTGCAAGTAGATAAATAGGGACCGCTTACTAGCGGGAAGGTAAACGGCGTTTCTGGGTGCTGCGCTGGGTCGCCAGAGCAGCTTCATCACGCTGGCCACGTGACCCGGAAGTGTCTGCGGACAGCGCTGGCTCCCGGCCTCTAGAGTGAGATGAGCGCACAACCCTAGAGTCTGTCAAGACTGGCCCGTACGGGCAGGGGTACCTTTACCTTTTTATTCAATAATAGGAGGGACATGGGTGGCACTGTGGTCTAAACCACAGAGCCTAGGGCTTGCCGATCGGAAGGTTGGCAGTTCAAGTTTGTGTGACAGGATGAGCTCCCATTGCTCTGCCCCAGCTCCTGCCAACCTAGCAGTTTGAAAGCACATCAGAGTGCAAGTAGATAAATAGGTACTGCTACAGTGGGAAGGTAAACAGCGTTTCCTATAGAGCGAGATGAGCGCGCAACCCCAGAGTCGTCCACGACTAGACCTAACGGTCAGGGGTACCTTTACCTTTTTATTCAATAATAATAATCTCCTTGACCCAAGGGTCACATAATGATGCTTACCTATGAAACATAAAGCTGTAGCAATTGCTTTATTTTTCAAATAAACACACAAGTTATAACCGATCAGTGGTCAAGTCCACCAACACTGCATCTTTCTGTTTGTTTGCTTAAAGAAGATAGATTTCCAGGGTGGTGCTGAGTAATAAATTTTTTTTGCCTGAAAAGGGGGCTGTAGGCCAAATAAGTTTGAGAAGAGAGCAATACTTACAAGTATTTCTAAATTTCTTTTTAGAAAATATCCGTGGCATGGAAATTTGCTATCTCTCAATGGAAACGCAGAACTCTCAGTGTGTGAGAGTGAAGATTTCGAAGGACATGAATGTAAAATCTGCTGTAAGGAAGGTAAATGCTTCATTACACTGTTGTCAAATCTTTGCCGTTTTGAGATTTTAAGAACAAGCTATTAAATGCAAGGCTGTGTATATATATCATATTTTTGAAGTACGTTACTTCCCCCAAAGAATCCTGGGAGCCATAGTATACCCTCACAGATCTAAAGTTCCCAGCACGCTTAACAAAGCACAGTCGTACTTTGGAAGTCGAACGGAATCCGTTCTGGAAGTCCTTTCGACTTCCAAAACGTTCAGAAATCAAAGCGCAGCTTCCGATTGGCTACAGGAGCATCCTGCAGCCAATCAGAAGCTGCAGAAGCCATGCTGGATGTTTGGCTTCCAAAAATTGTTTGAGAACTGAAACACTCACTTCCAGGTTTCAATTGTTCAGGAGCCAATTTTTTTCAGGAGCCAAGTCGTTCGGGATCCAAGGTACAACTGTAAAGTTCCCAGAATTATTTTGCAAAAGTGATGTGCATTGAATTGATGGTGTGTACACAGCTGAGACAGCAGAAGCTTATACTTAACAATGTCCCCCTGCCCCCATTAATATAAACCAGAAAACAAGTGGTTTTGGAACGTAGGATGTTGAGGAGAACTGGGGATGAACGTTTGCCCAGGAACTTATTTCTGACCTACAGTTCTATTGGGCCACCCCAGGCCATTCCCACTTCTTGGCTCCTTGCTTTAGTAATAATTGAACCAGGGAAGAGCTGCAGGCACTGAGTGAGACTGAAGCTATTTGAACAGGATCTGCAGCTCTGATAAAAGAGGAGCAAGCTTTTGATTGTAACTGCTACCACATTTGCAGACTGGTTCGTGTCTGTCTGAAGAAGTAATTGTGGTTTATGTTTGCATTGATATTATGAAAGCACCATAATGGCCGTATGTGTGTTGTGTGGGCTTAGGGTATTTCATGTCATTGTTCCCAGATGCCTTCATGTGTGTGTGTGTGTGTGTGTGTGTGTGTGTGTGTAATACAAATCCACAGTTAATGAAAAACTAATGATGCCTTATGCTGTTCGCTTCGCATGTCTGCCGGTCTTCACGAAAACCCTGTATTTCAAAACCATCAGTTCTAACATACCCCTTCACTTTCTTGAGTCATTTCCAGACTGTCAGGTTTTTGTGGGGTGATTCAGTGGGCAAAACTCAAATCAAAGTGGATTTGACTTTTTGCACAGCAAACCTGCTTCCAAGCTACCCTTTTACTTTTTGGGGTACAGAAAATGATGGGGAAATGCACTGAAAAGTGTGGGGTTACTTGACGGGATGCTGTATGACCTCCCCACAAATCAATCAGAATGAATAATCAGTAGATAGTGGCTATCACAAAATTTGTGCGAAAAGATGCTCTATAAAGATGTCATCTGAAAGGAACCTTGAAATTCTGATCTCTCGTTCATTCATTCATTCATTCATTCATTCTGTTAGATATCATCCCTTCCTTCCAAAGGAGCCAAGGGTGGCACACACGAGACGGTTAAAACAGTACAATTAAAACTAAAATGAACACATATTTTAAACACTTGAAAGCATTTAGAGCACCTAAGAAACGTTTAAGAGCAATCACAGTTGCTAATTTCAAGGTTGCCATGACCAGTATCTATCAACCTGGGTAGTTAAGTCCTTCCTGAAAGCCAATAAAGGAGGGAGAAAGACATGCACACCAGCAGAGAGGGCATTCCACAAATGGGGAGCTACCACAAAGAAGGCCCCGTCATATATATTTATAGTCAATCTATTCATGGAAAGTGTTTTATGGCTACATTTCTTTTGCGAACCCTGGACTTAATGCTGGTTTGGGGCTAGAGGTCTGATCATTGTCGTGATTGAGTAAGGAGATGGAGGAACACCAGAGATACACCAGTGTAGATGCAGCTGGGCAAACAAACCACATAAAGAGGCACGTCTGAGACCCTTTGAATAATGCTAGATGCCTAGTTTGACGCATATGAGAATATGCATTCATAGTCAGAACTGCTGCTAACCTCAGCGTCTTCCCTGCAAGCAGAGCTGAATCAGGGTCAGTGCTCATATGCATTGATGGAAGTGCGCAGTGGGAATTTCTGCTAGGTCCCAGTGCATAGGATTGCAGCCTAAATTTCAGAGACCATGAGCTTTAAAACCTGTACAGTCTCATTCGCTCCAATACCGACGAGTGATTCACTGCTGATTTCAGCGAATGATACCTGCTTAACATAATGCAAATCTTTGAGCATGCTGGGATGTATACTAGGGCGGTTCATAAAAAACTTTGTTTTGAAAATGCCTGCTCCTAAGGTCTTATTTTACTACACTAGGGATACTACTACTAGTACACAGTGGTACCTCAGGTTAAGTACTTAATTCGTTCCGGAGGTCCGTTCTTAACCTGAAACTGTTCTTAACCTGAAGCACCACTTTAGCTAATGGGGCCTCCTGCTGCTGCTGTGCCGCTGGAGCACGATTTCTGTTCTCATACTGAAGCAAAGTTCTTAACCTGAAGCATTATTTCTGGGTTAGCGGAGTCTGTAACCTGAAGCGTATGTAACCCGAGGTACCACTGTATCTGAAATTTCATACATATCAGTTAATATCTTGACCCTCCTCCACGAAAATAGCTGTTTACTTGGCCATTTTCCTATGTTGTGAAGGCTGAAATTTCAATTCAGTGGGTCAAGATATTAACGGATATGCATGAAATTTCAGATATAGCTATATAAATCCCTAGTGTGGTAAGATAAGACCTTCGGAGCAGGCATTTTCAATTTTTTTTTTTATTTTTATGAACCGCCCTAATGCATACATGTGAGAGTTCTCCTCAGCTTCCTCATGTGGAACATCTCAATATAAGATGTTGTTGATGGAAATGTGCTATGAATGAATGGATGTTTGAAATTGCCGCATTCTCAAGCGATCATTGGATCTGAGCAACTGCCAGGATGCTGAGTTTGCTATAGTTTGCATTTTAGCAATGAGCTTGGAATGTGAGAACCTCAGGAAACATTTCCTTGGTAATTCCTCCTGGCAGCTTGCCAGTATGCCATGTCTCTTGATTATTTAAACCGTGGTGAGAAAATAGAAAATATACCGTCTTCAAAAACAGGTTTGAACACATCAACCCAGTAGAATCAACAAGACCATAATCTAACCTCGTTTTGGAATCTTTCCAACATGATCTAGAAATTGCCTATAATTCCCTTGATTTTTTTGGTTTGCAATCCAAACAGGTGAAAGTTCAGTTCAACTGCTTTGAAGTCAGCGCAGGACAACATCTCCATGTGACCATGAGGACAGTTCCAAATTACTGCGGAGTTAAAAAGGATCAAGAATATTATGTTGAAGGTTGGAATCCATTTTTAGAAATAAATGATGATCTTGAAGGTTGGGAGGGTGTCATGAATGAGAAAATGGAAATTCATACTGACCAGGAAATTGGCAATTTTCACAAACTAGAACTATAACCCCAACTCTTGTCAGAACTGTAATGCCTTCTCTACTTGACCTTGGCTCAAGATTTACATTATATAGCTCTAAGTATAAATATACTTACAGTGGTACCTTGGTTCTCAAGCTTAATCTGTTCCGGAAGTCTGTTCCAAAACCAAAGTGTTCCAAAACCAAGGCGCGCTTTCCCATAGAAAGTAATGCAAAATGGATTAATCCGTTGCAGACTTTTGAAAACAACCCCTAAAACAGCAATTTAACATGGATCTTGCTATCTAATGAGACCATTGATCCATAAAATGAAAGCAATATACAATGTACTGCAGTCAATCAATCAATCAATCAATCAGTAGCTGAACTGGGTTCCACACAATCACAAAAACAAAACAAAAAGAGCCATAAAAACAAAACCACAAAATCAATAGCAAAAACAGACAGATCTCAGAGTAACACTCAAAACACAAGTGTGGCACTCAAAATGGAAGCATAGCACTCAAAACAGAGCATATTTGGCGTAGAGAAAAAGTTCGCAATCCGGAACACTTACTTCTGGGTTTGCAATGTTTGGGTTCCAAGTTATTTAAATACCAAGGAGTTTGAGAACCAAGGTACCACTGTATTAACAAATATGAACTAGGTTGGTTAGATTGATGATATTTAGTTGTGTGTAAGGTAGTGTGTTAAGGGATGCAGGTGGCGCTGTTATCTAAACCACAGAGCCTAGGGCTTGCCGATTGGAAGGTTGGCGGTTTGAATCCCTGCGATGGGGTGAGCTCCCGTTGCTCGGTCCCTGCTCCTGCCAACCTAGCAGTTTCAAAGCACGTCAAAGTGCAAGTAGATAAATAGGTACCGCTCCAGCGGGAAGGTAAACGGCACTTCCGTGCGCTGCTCTGGTTTGCCAGAAGCGGCTTAGTCATGCTGGCCACATGACCCAGGAGCTGTACGCCGGCTCCCTCGGCCAGGAAAGCGAGATGAGCGCCGCAACTCCAGAGTCGTCCGTGACTGGACCTAATGGTCAGGGGTCCCTTTACCTTTTAAAGTAGTGTTGGAGAAGGAACTCAATTGAGTTCTCATTTGAAGGTGAATTTGCTCTTTCCAGGATAACACACAAACCAAAACACAGCCGCCCTGCAAAATCTGCACTTTTCTGAATTTTGCAGTGCAGTTCTTCAGCCAAGTAATTTGTAGAAAACTGCAGGTCCTGGGGCAAAGTGTGCCTACAAATTCATATATGGGTGCAAGTACAGTGGTACCTCGGGTTAAGTACTTAATTCGTTCCGGAGGTCCGTTCTTAACCTGAAACTGTTCTTCACCTGAAGCACCACTTTAGCTAATGGGGCCTCCTGCTGCTGCCGCGCTGCCGGAGCACGATTTCTGTTCTCATCCTGAAGCAAAGTTCTTAACCTGAGGTACTATTTCTGGGTTAGCGGAGTCTGTAACCTGAAGCGTCTGTAACCTGAAGCGTCTGTAACCCGAGGTACCACTGTATTAGGAAAATTGCATTTCACAGATGTACTTGTTAGGCAAAACATGCATATTGGGAGAAATTCTCACCGCAAACCCTGACGAGTTTTCATGAGGACTTTAAAAAATAAAAACGGTGAACTGATCTGGAAATGTGGAGAACTGAATTGAAGATTAGAAAAAATATATATTTTAGGAATTAGAAAACACTGAGATTGACAGATTTGTCTACTCCTAGTATAAAGGACCTATAGGACGGCCCTGCCATGTTCCACCACAAGTGCCTAAAATGAATAGCAGCCCGAAAGGGCTGGTTTTCATTGGTATGAAGCTAGGGACAAAATAATTAAACCTCTCCTCCCCGTTCACTCTGGTCCTGGTGAAAATCAGCTCAGCTATTTTTTAACAAATATTGATGTAGTTCCTAGCGATGCATTGAGCATCAAATCTCATTTGACCCTAATCGGCTTCTCAGTAAGACCCAACCAAAAAGCAGAACTTATTGTGAAACTCCATTTAGCATTTCCATCCAAGCCAAGTAAACGATTCAACTCATGCATTTCTTTTTAGGAAGTGTGTTCTGCCTGACTTCCCTTATTTACAGCATTTGGTAAATAAAAGAACAGAAAACTCTTTCCAGCTGCTGTGTAGTTTGACCTCCAACGCGTAACACTAACATGTTTAGCATTTCAGTCAACCGTTAGGTTCCTTTTCATTTTGTCGCATGAGAAAAAAACCCCAAATGAGTTGTAAATAGGCTTTTAAGAAGTATCTTTAAAAGAGGGAACAAAATCAAATAAACGTGTGGCAAAAGAGCTTCTATCCCACTATGGGAGACCGTGAAACAAACAATAGTTAGATGGGGTGGAGCTGGGCATGAGAAAAGAGGAACTGGATTAGAGCAAAGGCCTATCTGGTCCAACATCCTGTTTCCCATAGAATAATATTATTAATTTTTACATTTTTTAATTTTATTCAAGGGGTGAAAGGTGGGGTGCATGGTTGTCCCGTCCCTATTTCCCAGCACAACAGCTCTGTGAGGCAAGAAGACAGACGTCTCAGAAAAATAAACGATCTGTTTTGAATTTTGCAGATTGCAGAAACAGTGATGTGGAGGAAAATATTCCAGTCTGTTTTGGTAAGCTGAGGTCCAGGAGGTCTAAATTACATGCACTACATCATGTAGAACACTTCCTTTGTTTCTGAATTCTACTAATCATAGTCTGAAACTAATCTGAAACAGAAATGCATGCTTTGGTAAACTACCATTATTATTACTATTATTATTATTATTATTATTATTATTATTATTATTATTTGACTAGGATGTCTGTACTCTCATTGGAGAAATGTGGGGCTTACTCCTAGGTAAATATGGACAGGAATGTAGCCTTGGGGTGATGTTAATACTGATTGAAACCAAATGTCAAACTCAAATAGCAATCAAATCAGTCATGGAATTCCGGATCTTAGATTGAGTCACATCAACAGTAAAATTAAAGCACAAACGTTTGTTAATACCATTAATACCATTCTTTCTCTTCCCCTTTCAAGTTTCAGGCATCAGAATCATTTATGATGTGGACAGAGCAAGAAAAACCATTTTGGTGGATATTTCAGAGACTGTTCAAGGCACAGATTATTATGTTCGCCTTTGCCACCAGTGGTTTCTTTGTGAAGATGTGGGTCCAGTTGCCTTGGTAAGTGTTTGTAGGAAACTGAAAATGGTCCACTTAGCACATGGGTAGGCAAACTAAGGCCTGGGGCCCAGATCTGACCCAATTGCCTTCTAAATCCAGCCCACTGACGGTCCAGGAATCAGCATGTTTTTACATGAGTAGAGTGTGTCCTTTTATTTAAAATGCATCTCTGGGTTATTTGTGGGGGATAGGAATTCATTCACCCCCCCCCAATATAGTCCACCCCCCAAGGTCTGAGGGACAGTGGACCGGCCACCTGCTGAAAAGGTTTGCTGACCCCTGACTTAGCAGAAAGAAATGGAATTTCCTATGTTACTAAAGACATCCAAAGGCCTAATATCATTTTGCACCATGTTCCTGATGAAGAGGCCATCTTTGGCGGGACGGATGCATGCAATGTTTTGTCCTTGGTTGCTCTCTGTTTTCCTATCCTCTTCTCTTCTCTTTCTTCCACCTTTCTCTTTGCTCTTTTTCTTCCCCCAATGCTGCCAGCATCTTGGAACATCTAACAGTGGAGGCTGGTATCTCTTGAGACTGGTAGGGGGAATGCAGAAAAGGCCAACAGGGAGCAGATCCAGAGCCAATGATTGTTGTTGTTGTTGTTGTTTAGTCGTTTAGTTGTGTCCAACTCTTTGTGACCCCATGGACCAGAGTACGCCAGGCACTCCTGTCTTCCACTGCCTCCCGCAATTTGGTTAAACTCATGCTGGTAGCTTTGAGAACACTGTCCAACCATCTCGTCCTCTGTCGTCCCCTTCCCCTTGTGCTCTCAGTCTTTCCCAACATCAGGGTCTTTTCCAGGGAGTCTTCTCTTCTCATGAGGTGGCCAAAGTATTGGAGCCTCAGCTTCAGGATTTGTGCTTCCAGTGAGCACTCAGGGCTGATTTCCTTAAGAATGGATAGGTTTGATCTTCCTGCAGTCCATGGGACTCTCAAGAGTCTCCTCCAGCACCATAATTGAAAAGCATCAATTCTTCGGTGATCAGCCTTCTTTATGGTTCAGCTCTCACTTCCACACATCACTACTGGGAAAACCATAGCTTTAACTATACGGGCCTTTGTTGGCAATGATAGGCAGAGCCAAGTCATTCCAGTTTTTGCTCCCATCATCGCCCTTGCTTTCTACAAAGGCAACACTGAGATTAAGAAGGTGGTGGCAGTGGCTGACAGCCAGTGTCATCCCTAAACTGGCAGGTGACGGTTAACTGAGGACAGAGTGAGGTTGGTGGGACACCATAATGGACCAGCCTCCACTAACTTCTAGTCCTGAGCTTCAGAAAAAAAGGCACTCTAAAGCAGAGATGGAGAATTGGTGGTCCTCCAGATATTGCTGAGCTCCAAGTCCCATCACCCTCCACCAGCTTGGCCAATGGTCAGGGCTGATGGGAGCTGTAGTATGAAAAAAAATCTGGAGGGCCTTAGGTTCCCTACCACTGCTCTAGAGGGACAAACTTCTTAATGCAAATAAGAGTATGGCTACTTACATGAGCAGGCTCTCCACTTCCAATAGTCATCTCCCACTTCATGGTGGGCAATGCTTATGGGGGGAAAGAATAATAATGATGATGATGATAATTGCAAGGTATTTTACAATTTCAGGTACAAGGGAAGGACTTGGTGAAACCAGTCTCTTTGCAGTACACTCAGTTGTTGCCTTGTCTTTGTATCGAGGTAAGTATTTTCAACATGGTTGGACATGTAACCTGGTTAGAAAACGCAGTAGCTAATTGAAGGAACATTATTTCTGAGAGTGGGGCAAAGTCCTTGAGAGGAACACAAGCAACTACAGTGGTGCCTCGCAAGACGAAAAGAATCCGTTCCGCGATTCTCTTCGTCTAGCGGTTTTTTCGTCTTGCGAAGCAACCCTATTAGCGGCTTAGCGGATTAGCGCTCTTAGCGGTTTAGCGGCTTAGCGGCTATTAAAGGCTTAGCGGCTTAGCTGCTAAAAGGCTATTAGCGGCTTAGCAGCTTAGAAAAAGGGGGGGGGGAGCGGAAAAAAAATCGCAAGACTAGCAAGACTTTTCGTCTTGCGAAGCAAGCCCATAGGGAAATTCGTCTTGCGAAGCAACTCAAAAACGGAAAACCCTTTCGTCTAGCGGGTTTTCCGTCTTGCGAGGCATTCGTCTTGCGGGGCACTACTGTACATGAATGCATTTAGTAAAGAGGGGCTTTGTGGATAAGAATTTATTGAAAAATAGATTTTAAACTAGCTGGTTATTTGAACTAATGGATCTTCCTGTTTGGATTGCAGGCATGGCCAGCGATCCCCGACGCACAGAGAACCCAGTTGTGCCCATTTAAAAATGGCAAGTAAAATATGGTTTTTTTGCTCGTTTGAATGGACGCTATGCTGTCAAAGAAATGAAAGGTGGAAGGGGAAGGGGAAATCACAGGTAGCATGATAGTAGGCTATCCGATCTGTTTTTCGTCTAAATTTTCCACAGATGTGTATCCAGATTTCTGAATTTTACCTAAAATAGTTGTCCAGCATATCAACAGTCCTTTAAAAATTGCAATAACAGATCACAGCCCTGTGTCTGCACTCTCATGGTAGATAGCAACCAGTGCCAGATTTATGTATAAGCTGAACAAGCTACAGCTTAGGGGGGCCTCACTCTCTTGGGGGCCTCAAAAATATTGAAAGAAAAAAACAACAACTAGATGTACATTTCCAAAATATAAGATAAAAAACAAATAAAATAAAACCTACATACAGCAACAGTGTTTTGTGTTGTGTAGGCTCCTATGATGTAAGTAATGGGCCCCGCCTGCTAGCCTGGCTCCCTAAAATATCACAGTTTGCTCCTTTCTATATATAGGGTTGTATTTCACTATTAATAACCTTCTAATTAATTGTATTTCAGTTCAACAATTACTTTGATTAAAATACATATTTGTAATGTGCTAATGGCTTTAGTTGCGGGTGGGACGCGGGTGGCGCTGTGGGTAAAAGCCTCAGCGCCTAGGGCTTGCCGATCGAAAGGTCGGCGGTTCGAATCCCCACGGCGGGGTGCGCTCCCGTTGTTCGGTCCCAGCGCCTGCCAACCTAGCAGTTCGAAAGCACCCCCGGGTGCAAGTAGATAAGTAGGGACTTCTTACCAAGCGAGAAGGTAAACGGCGTTTCCGTGTGCGGCTCTGGCTTGCCAGATGCAGCTTGTCACTCTGGCCACGTGACCCGGAAGTGTCTCCGGACAGCGCTGGCCCCGACCTCTTGAGTGAGATGGGCACACAACCCTAGAGTCTGTCAAGACTGGCCCGTACGGGCAGGGGTACCTTTACCTTTAATGGCTTTAGATACCTATTAGGTCCATAAATTACCATATAGCATATATTCAACACAAAAAACAATTTGTTGTTGACAAAGGACAGCTGGACATATAAAGGGCCCCATTACCTTCAGTGGCTTAGGGCCCCATGAAACCGAAATCTGGCCCTGATAGCAACAGAGCCACATCTCACTCCCAGCCAACAAAATGGTAGGTGCTTTTAGCTAGCTACCATTGGGGAGGAGTTGAGTTCAGCATCCCGGACACTTGAGCTATATAATGTGCTTTTACGCAGCCTTCATTTCCTCCTATGTTGCTTTTAGATACCAAGGCCCTGTGGGACAACGTTATTTATAATCCCAATACACAAACACTGGAATGGGAAGCTGCCTGCCCTGTCCATGTTACTGTCAGCCTCTGTCAGCTCATGAAGACCAATGATCAGTGCGTTGATCTAGAGAACACGGCAAATATCGCTGCAGAGAAAGTAAGCACAAAAGAGCAAATATATGCACTGGGTCTAGTATTTCTGCATGTACTCATTGAGTGGGAGGGAAACTTGGTTTCACCTGAAGAAGAACTGTGAAACAGTAGTTGGCCAAAATGCGTTGGTCTCCTTTGCGAACAAATTTCTTTATTCTTTCCCCACAAAATAGAAATTTTTATTGCTAATTTTAATAATACATTATTTCATTCTGAAATAGGCATTCTGAATACGTTTGAATACAAGATATGTGACTGGATGTGCATTTTGGTACATATTATTTATTTATTTTTTTTTTAAAAATTAACATTCCAAATTATTACAAATCAAACCAAATTACTTTCATTTAATACAATTCCTTAAAATCAGGTTTCCTGATCCTGTTGCAAACATATGTCAATCATTTCCTCCCGTAGCTGCATCATCTCTTATTTACCGTATTTTTCGCACGATTGGACGCACCGGACCATAGGACGCACCTAGTTTTTTGGGGGGGAAATAAAGGAAAAAAATTTCCCCTTTATTTCCCCCCCAAAAGCAGGTCAGGGAAACCGAACCAGGTCGAGGAACAGCGGGATAGTGGCGCTGCACCTCCCTGCTGTCCCCCAAGCTTGTGGGGCTGGCTGATGTCTGTCCGGCGGGCGGGGAGCTCTGCTTCAGGGCGCCCCACCCGCCAGGCAGCAGGCTGCTATCCGCAGCGTGGGGAGCCCTGTGGGGAACTCCTGCAAGGTTCCCCACTCTGCGGATGTATGCCTGGCGCGAGGGGCGCTCTGCTTCAGGGCGCCCCACCCGCCAGGCAGCAGGCTGCTATCCGCAGCGTGGGGAGCCTTGTCGGGAACTCCTGCAAGCCTCCCCACTCTGCGGGTGTCTGCCTGGCGCGAGGGGCGCTCTGCTTCAGGGCGCCCCACCCGCCAGGCAGCAGGCTGCTATCCGCAGCGTGGGGAGCCTTGTCGGGAACTCCTGCAAGCCTCCCCACTCTGCGGATGTCTGCCTGGCGCGAGGGGCGCTCTGCTTCAGGGCGCCCCACCCGCCAGGCAGCAGGCTGCTATCCGCAGCGTGGGGAGCCCTGTGGGGAATTCCTGCAAGGCTCCCCATGCTGCGGATGTGTTCCTGAAGCACCTGGAGCTCTGCTTTCAGGGCGCCCGGCGCTCCTGGAAGCAGGCTGAGCGGAGCGCTAATCCCGAAGCCCCAAGCTTCGGGATTAGCGCGGCGCTTCGCTAGCCCTGGGAGAGCCACGCAATGTCGCGGGGCTCTCCCAGGGCTAGCGAGACCTTGCCGGCACCCAGAAGCTTGGGGTGCGCTGAGCTCCGCGCGCCCCAAGCTTCGGGATTAGCGCGGCGCTTCCCTAGCCCTGGGAGAGCCACGCAACGTCGCGGGGCTCTCCCAGGGCTAGCGAGACCTTGCCGGCACCCAGAAGCTTGGGGCGCGCTGAGCTCCGCGCGCCCCAAGCTTCGGGATTAGCGCGGCGCTTCGCTAGCCCTGGGAGAGCCACGCAACGTCGCGGGGCTCTCCCAGGGCTAGCGAGACCTTGCCGGCACCCAGAAGCTTGGGGCGCGCTGAGCTCTGCGCGCCCCAAGCTTCGGGATTAGCGTGGCGCTTCGCTAGCCCTGGGAGAGCCACGCAACGTTGCGGGGCTCTCCCAGGGCTAGCGAGACCTTGCCGGCACCCAGAAGCTTGGGGCGCGCTGAGCTCCGCGCGCCCCAAGCTTCGGGATTAGCGTGGCGCTTCGCTAGCCCTGGGAGAGCCACGCAACGTCGCGGGGCTCTCTCAGGGCTAGCGAGACCTTGCCGGCACCCAGAAGCTTGGGGCGCGCTGAGCTCTGCGCGCCCCAAGCTTCGGGATTAGCGTGGCGCTTCGCTAGCCCTGGGAGAGCCACGCAACGTCGCGGGGCTCTCCCAGGGCTAGCGAGACCTTGCCGGCACCCAGAAGCTTGGGGCGCGCTGTGCTCCGCACGCCCCAAGCTTCTGGATTAGCGCAGTGGTCCGCTAGCCGTGGGAGAGCTGGGTCTCCCACGGCTAGCGGATAGCTTCCTGAAGCCTGGAGAGCGAGAGGGGTCGGTGCGCACCGACCCCTCTCACTCTCCAGGCTTCAGCGAAAGCCTGCATTCGCTCCATAGGACGCACACACATTTTCCCTTGCTTTTTAGGAGGGAAAAAGTGCGTCCTATGGTGCGAAAAATACGGTAATGTCCAATTGTCATCCTTCACTCATCGTTAGTCCATTCTCGCAGCTGGCAACATTTTTTTCCTCCTTACAAACAGCACCTCTGCTACATTTTATAATTATAATATCCATTTCACGTGTGTAGTCCTTCGTACACATTTTTGTTCTAGACCTGGTGTGCTGGGAGAATTAATTACTATCTTTCATTGTTCAGTTCTTTGCAACGTTTATCTTTGGTAACGATAAACCCGCTCTGAGACCCCACAGCTAATTCTCCCCTGGCCTCCTCGCTGGCCCAAGTAGGACCAATTCAGCCATTCAGCCCTGGGGATTATCTAATTGATTTTTGATTTTTGAATTTTATTGTCATTCATGTTTTTATACTGTATTTTATGCTGTTTTTATAATTAAGTTTTTAAAAGTGTTTTAAATTTGTTGTTAGCCGCCCAGAGCCTGGTTTTTGAACCGGGAAGGGCATTATTATTATTGGTACATGTTTTTTAAGCGGAGGACAAGACTGAAAACGTTAAGAGACTGGAGGGAAATTGAAGGTTAAATCTGTTTGAACATTCCTACCCCTGTGTCCACAAGCTATATGCAGATACGCATCAGTTTGAATGCGCTTAGGATGTGTTCAAGAAGGGGGGTGAACAAAGGTTCAGAGTAGGAAACGACCTCTATACTCCATGCATTCACTAAAAATGCCATCCACACAAGGCTTTGATGTAAACCAAGTCAACTTTTAGCTGTCAGTAAGTCAAGTTTACACCAAGTCAGGCTTAGCTTTCAGTCCAGTAAGGAATATCTTTGCAATGCTTATAAATCAATAATCTTTCCAATGCATCTAAAAGCTAGCTATGCCAATGCCTGTTTTTCTCAGACGATGCCAATAACTCTCTGATCATTCTGTTTTCAATCAGGTAAAATATTCTCGAGTTGATGCACAGCCAAACCTTTGCATGAAGGTATATTTTCCCCCTTATACATTATTTCCTTATGAATCATCCCTTTGCTCTACTTATTAAGAGAAATCTTGTGCCCGGGTCCTGTGGAAAAGCTACGCTGTCCCCTCCGGAGAGCCAGTGTGGTGTAGTGGTTAAGAGCGGTGGACTCGTAATCTGGTGAACCGGGTTCGCTTCCCTGCTCCTCCACATGCAGCTGCTGGGTGACTTTGGGCTAGTCACACTTCTCTGAAGTCTCTCAGCCCCACTCACCTCACAGAGTGTTTGTTATGGGGGAAGAAGGGAAAGGAGAATGTTAGCTGCTTTGAGACTTCTTCAGGTAGTGATAAAGCGGAATATCAAATCCAAACGCCTCCTCCTCTTCTTCTTCCTCCTCCTCCTCCTCCTCTTCTTCTCTATGACTCGTAGGACGGCCATCATTAGAAATGTATTGACAGTTTGAGAAGCAGTTCAGAGAGCACTGGTTTTGTGAAGGCTGTATTATCCCATTGGAATTATTTAGCTAGTTGGGAAGAAGCACCCAAATCTAATTTCCCCTAACCCCCAATTCATTAGAACAGGTGTTGCCAAACTGTGGTGCAAGGACCACTGGTGGTCTTCATGTTCCCTTCTTGTGATCTGAGGTGTGTCTGTAGATTTGTGGTTGAAGACAGGCACAACAAGTCCATTGCATTCAATATCCATGTTGATTTTTGACTGTATTTTTTAATTGCTCCTTATACAATGCACAAGGAATAAAATAACAAAAGAAATGACATCCAAAACCATACAGCATCTAGCAGAGAATGTTGCAATTGCCGCAACAGGCAGAAAAATCATTAAGTGATCTGCCAAGACCCTCAGCAGTTTTCACATGGTCCATGGTGCAGGGCAAATATTAGGGAACCACTGTACTAGCTTCTGCACAGCAGAATCCTATGGATGTTGACTTGGAACCAATTCCCATTGTGTTTAAGGTAAAAGCCACTGTTCCTCTATTCATCACTACATTCCATTTAGAAATTCAGATTAAGATGAAAAACAACAACAACCCCAGTGTAACTAATCACTTCTTTTTTAAAAACCCTTTTTAGTTTGCAACTAAACACGGTTCTTGGGTTCGATGCCCATTTGCTCGTGGAAATCCCCAAGGTAAGGTGATTGCATTCATAAACATCTTTCTACATTTGTAGTGGCTCAATGGCAGCCATAGCGGAACAAGTCTATACCTGTCATAAAGCAGGGTGGGTTTTTTCTGTTTTGTTTTTCTAAGACCACATCTGAAGGACCGTGAATAATGAGGAACTGTATCCTTTGAATTATGGTGTTTCCCTTGGTGTCCCTAAGGCGGTTGGATGGCGTCTTGTACGCCTCCTTCTGGCAACTCCTAGCAGCCAAGCTGGTGCCAAATTTATTGCTCTGCTTTCCTTGGCACCACATCAGCAAGGCCAAGAGGGGTTGGGTCTTGTTGTCTGGGCAGCCCAGGACCTCCATACACCAGCGGTGGATTTTGGGCTCTCCAATTTCAGCGGCACCCTGTGTGATGCTAAAATTCAGTGCCCCCACCTCTTGCACTCCATTCCACAGCATTGCTGTGGCACCTCCGGCACTGTGGCACCCAGTGTCGCCACACTGGTCATGCCACCCTAAAACCGCCTTTGCATACACACTGCCCAGGTCACTCCGGTGGTGCTATTGCAGCAAAAACAACGCAGGAGGCAGCAGTTATGAGTTACTGGTCTCTGCAGCCACAGCAGGCGCTGTGATTCTCCAGCAGTTTGCCTTCACCACCGGAGGCACACTCCATTGTCTCTCGAGACAGGCGAATGCCAACAAAACAGGTTGAAGCCTCATTCCAACAGTGGCGTAGCGTGGGTTGTCAGCACCCGGGGCAAGGCAAGTAATTTGCGCCCCCAACCCGTGGATTTGCGCCCCCTAACCCGTGGATTTGCCCTAACCCCAGATGTTGCGCCCGGTGCGGCCGGCCCCCCCTGCACCCCCCACGCTACACCACTGCATTCCAAGAAAACAATTGCCAAGGGCAGCTTATTAAAATCAACATACTAATTTGTATAGTATCTAAGCATTGGTGCAGTGTACAATGCTTCTAGGTACAAGGCGCACAAACCTCATAATGTGATAGTTGTGAGATTAACTAAAGGGCGGACATTTTGCGGTCGCCTGTGAGCTTCAGTGATGAAGCTGGCTGAAAAATGAAGCAAGTATTAAATGGCAAAAACAAAAGTGTCACTAGTTAGGATCACTTCTCGGTAACGTAGATTGCTTTTTTACTTCTGTTTCAGCTTGGGAAATGAATCTTGCTGTGATGGACAATAGGATAGAAGTTTCCTTCATGTCACAAGCTGCCGAGGCAAAATTTTCCGTTCATGTATGCAACAAGACAGAGGCGTCTCTATGCAACTCTACTGGAATCCACCAGCCCATCTCAGTGGTTTGTGCCATTTTTATTTCTCCTTTCTTACAAGTGAATCCTGAACTCTTGATCTACGTCTGTCAGATCCTTTTAAGGCAAACATTTTGAGAAGTGTGGCATGCAGGAGAATATCCATTTCAGTCAGTGGGAAACATACTGACTAACCCTAAAGACCCAAGTTAAAAAAAGACCAACTAAGTACTACTGTGAGATGGGATATCATTTTTTTAATTAAAAAAACCCTATCAATCCTCAAGTAACCATTATGGAATTGATACGTTCTGTACAGCTATGTTATGTTGTGAAATCATGTAGATTTTGAATCACAGAGTTCCCCTTCTTTTGTTTTCGAATGGTTTTTTCCACCACATCCTCTCAGTGACTTTACAATGAACAATGATTTGCACAGAGCACTTAGCGGAAATATCTTTCCAAATAAAGTACTCCAATTTTTCCCCCTAAATGCTTGACTGACTAGAGATTGCTACATTTTTGTGTTCGGCGTTCTTTTAAAGGAAAGTACATGACAGATATTGGCTGCTGAGACCTGACTTCAAACTGATTTTGATAGAGCTCTGATTCACTTCTAATGTTCGCACTTCAGATCAGACAGGCTCTGCTAGGTACATAATTTTAACAACAACAACAAAAAGAAAAGAGGATCAAGATGATGACAAGATTGGCTTTGCGACTCCAAAGCTTCCATCATAGGAACCAGCCTGAAGTTTCCAATGTTCTGTTATCTACTGTAATATAATAATAATAATTTTATATTTATACCCCGCCCACGTGGCTGAGTTTCCCCAGCCACTATGGGTGTCTTACAGCACATAAAAAAATGGCAAAACATCAAACCTTAAAAACTTCCCTAAACAGGGTTGTCTTCAGGAGTCTTCTAAAAGTCAGATTGTTGTTTATTTCCTGGACATCTGGTGGGAGGATGTTTCACAGGGTGGGTAGCACCACCGAGAAGGCCATCCACCTGGTTCCCTGCAACCTCACTTATCGCAGTGAGGGAACCTCCAGAAGGACCTCAGAGCTGGACCTCAGTGCCCAGGCTGAATGATAGAGGTGGACACACCCCTTCAGGTATACTGGGCTGAGGCCATTTAGGGCTTTAAAGGTCAGCACCAACTCTTTGAATTGTGCTGTCATGGATGCTTTAGCTGAGATCCCTGCATTGCCGGGGATTGGACTAGATGATACAAGGGTCTGTTCCAACTCTACAGTTGGACTCTATGACTCTATGATTCTACTCTCAACCTAGCCACCTACTAGCTTTCACAAACAGTAAGCTTGGCCACAAAGTATAGGAAAAGAATACAGTGGTACCTCAGGTAAAGTACTTAATTCGTTCCGGAGGTCCATTCTTAACCTGAAACTGTTCTTAACCTGAAGCACCACTTTAGCTAATGGGGCCTCCTGCTGCTGCTGTGCCGCCGGAGCACAATTTCTGTTCTCATCCTGAAGCAAAGTTCTTAACCTGAGGTACTATTTCTGGGTTAGCTGTGTCTGTAACCTGAAGCGTATGTAACCTGAAGCGTATGTAACCCGAGGTACTACTGTATCCATTATGATGCATTTCACAAATGACCAAACAATGAACCTACACATGGGAACTGGCTTTGCGATGTTGTTGTTGACATCCATCTGCCTTGGGGGACAATGGAGGAGTGTTTCTTTGGGGATGAAGTTACAGCGCCTGCTGTGGCTGTAGAGACCAATATGGGAGAGACCTTTTTTGTTGCAGCTGGGCCAGATGAAGGCATCCGATTGTGTTGCTGCAGATTCACCATGGCGTTACTTCACTGTGTGCTCTTCCCAGCAGTTATTCCTCCTCTGGTCACTGCTATGGTTGCACCACAACCTTACCGCCTGTCTCCAGACACTGCGGTTGTCTGTAAGGGGTTCCCACATGGCGGGGTTGATGTTGCCAGCCTTCAACGACTCTCAACAAAAGCAGTGAGAAGCACTGAGTCATCACCTCGAACTGAGCAAATGCAGACCTCAGATGATCAAGGGTTTGGAAACCAAGCCTTATGAGGAACGGTTGAAGGAGCTGGGTATGTTTAGCCTAGAAAAGAGGAGACTGAAAGGAAATTTCTCAAGAGCTATAACACAGAAGAAGGAACAAGCTTGTTTTCTCCTGTTCTGGAGGGTAGGATTTGAGCCAATGGCTTCAAGTGGCAAGAAAGGAGATTCCTACTAAACGTCAGGAAAAACTTTTGGACAGCCTCCCACAGTTTGGTCAGACTCATGTTTGTAGCTTGGAGAACACTGTCCAACCATCTCGTCCTCTGTCGTCCCCTTCTCCTTGTGCCCTCCATCTTTCCCAACATCAGGGTCTCTTCCAGGGAGTCTTCTCTTCTCATGAGGTGGCCAAAGTACTTGAGCCTCAGCTTCAGGATCTGTCCTTCCAGTGAGCACTCAAGGCTAATTTCCTTAAGAATGGATAGGTTTGATCTCCTTGCAGTCCATGGGACTCTCAAGAGTTTCCTCCAGCACCAGAATTCAAAAGCATCAATTCTTCGGTGATCAGCCTTCTTTATGGTCCAGCTCTCACGTCCATAAATCACTACTGGGAAAACCATAGTTTTAACTATACTGGACTCCAAATCCCATCATCCTTGACCATTGACCAAACTGGCTGCAGCTAATGGGATTTGGAGTCCAGTAACATCTGGAGGGGCACAGGTTCCCCACACTTGGAACTGGCACAAGATCACCGTGCTCCATAGACACACCAAAAAGGGTGAATGTCTTCATCAATGCAAACCACTGTGTTTTCTGGCACAGTCAAATAAGTATCATGGCCAAAAAGGAAAATGAGCCATCTCTGTTACCTTTGGGTTAATGTTTTTTTTTTTTTGCTTTTGCCTCTTTAACAGGCTGGCTTGAGTTCAACGTATGTCAACATCTCAGGCAAAACATGTGGATCAGACATCTGCATTCAGGTTTGTCTTTTGTTTCAAAGGTCTTTTCTGTGCTAGCATGCAAATGATAACTAGATGGGGAAGTAGCACATCTTCCCTAATCAGTTCTTTATCATCTTATTGCAGCAGCAGTGGCAATGCATCTGGGTGGGTGGGGGGAATGCATTTACCTCCTTGGGAAAACGTTAAGACTATAGCTGAGGGAGAAACGGGGGAAGCTCTGGGATTACAAAGACAACATCCCTCAGAAAATGGAATAGATGGGTCAGAACAGTTGTTTGTGGTGAATTTTTTTTTGTAGGGGAACAGTTAAGGACAAAGGCACCAGCAGCCTCCCTAAGCCTGAATGGGGTAACTGTGCACCTGAAGGACCAGGTGCGCAACCTGGGAGTCATTCTGGACTCACAGCTGTCCATGGAGGCACAGGTCAATTCTGTGTCCAGGGCAGCTGTTTACCAGCTCCATCTGGTATGCAGTCTGAGTCCCTACCTGCCTGCGGACTGTCTCGCCAGAGTGGTGCATGCTCTGGTTATCTCTCACTTGGACAACTGCAATGTGCTCTATATGGGGCTACCTTGAAGGTGACCCGGAAACTGCAACTAATCCAGAATGCGGCAGCTAGACTGGTGACTGGGAGCAGCCGCCGAGACCATATAACACCGGTCTTGAAAGACCTACACTGGCTCCCAGTACGTTTCCGAGCACAATTCAAAGTGTTGGTGCTGACCTTTAAAGCCCTAAATGGCCTCGGCCCAGTATACCTGAAGGAGCGTCTCCATCTCCATCGTTCTGCCCGGACACTGAGGTCCAGCGCTGAGGGCCTTCTGGTGGTTCGCTCGCTACAAGTAGCCAAGTTACAGGGAACCAGGCAGAGGGCCTTCTGGGTAGTGGCACCCGCCCTGTGGAACGCCCTCCCATCAGATGTCAAAGAGAAAAATAACTACCAAACTTTTAGAAGACATCTGAAGGCAGCCCTGTTTAGGGAAGCTTTTAATGTTTAATAGGTTATTGTATTTTAGTGTTTTGTTGGAAGCCACCCAGAGTAGCTGGGGAAACCCAGCCAGATGGGCGGGGTATAAATAATAAATTATTATTATTATTATTATTATTATTATTATTATTATTATTATTAGCCAGGCAGAAGCTTCCTGGGCTTTGGGAAGGAGGTGCCTGACTTCAATACTTTATTTTATTGGGAGCATTTAGGGGACTAGCCTAGTCCACTGACCGCATACCATTGGATCAGAAGTGGCTTGCTGGGTGGGTGAAGAGGCTCTGCTAGGTTTCCGGCAGATGGGGCACTGTTGTTTACTGGGAGCGGAAAATAGAGGCGTCACAGAGACTGACAGTGTGCAGATCTCAATTTGGTGTTCCTGCTGGTGCATTTGCACCATGCCAGCCTCCCCACTGCTTTGCCCCTCTTCCTCCTGATAAGCAACAGCGACCCACCTGCCCGGAAGCTACGGTAGTGACTTTGCCCCACCTTTGAGCTGCTTCTGGTATGGGAAGTAGCTAAATGTTATAGTGTCAACACCTATTTAGCAGATCTAACACTGCAAGAAAATGAAGGAGTTACATTCAACTGACCAACAAAACAAAACAAAAACCTGTGCCATGGTAATAACTTTCCTCCCTTTTTTTCTTTTATAAGGGACGGAGGACAGATGTAGACTATTCTATTCCTTCACACATCTGTGATTTGCCCTGTAGTAAGTATTGATAATAGTATTGTATTGACCACTATAGCCCAAAGCCAAGTAAAATAATGTGTGGTCTGCAGCCACAGTTGTCCCATGTGGTTGGCCCTGGGCTTGTCTTGGTGGTGGAACCTACTGTGATCCTAGAGCCTGTGAGAGGCAGGATCAAATGCAGTCCTTGCTGATTGACAATGTTCTCTTCAGCTATTGATTTGGCATCACCGAGAACAAGGCATGCACCCTATAGCAAATGTTCTAACAGAGAAAACCCTTATATGAAAGGACTACATATTCTTGAAACGTATGTATCGACTACAACGCGAGGACATTTTTTCTTTCCAGTTTCTGCTACTCGAAGTCAGGAAGGTGATGAAAATTCCTTAAGCATCCTATCTCTAATAGCATTGCTTGTGTTGACTGTGACCATGATGGGGCTCCTGGGACATAAACTTTTATCAGGTACGATTCCGTGTAAACAAAGCATGTAACCTAAGTATGTCATGAATTCACACAGCGGGGTCTCTATATTGTGGCAGAGGGATCTGTTCTGTTTCTTCTAAGTCTTAAAAAGTCATTTATTTATTTTAAAAAAGGTTTGATGTAGCAGTGGAATCTAGCTTCCAGGCTGGGGTGTTCTGGTTATGCAAGCCCTGGGCATATGGCAGCATGCTGGCTCAGAGTGGCTTGGGGGATAGTTAGAAGTATCAGCTCTTGGCTGGACCAGTACCTTGAGATTCTGGCTTTTGAGTTTCTATGGTAACAGCATAGAATAGTTTGCATAGGGGAAGATGCACAAGTTGTATGAAAACCGGTAGCAAGTTTCCTCCTGGATGTGAGAATGATTGCATAAAGGGTTTGTGCATGCATTAGCTGGAGCTTCTAATAACGTCCAAAGCTGTTCCCTGTTCAGAGTCTTCCTCACCCTGATTGTTCATTACAATGGTTGACATGTCCTGGTTTCGGTGGCAGGGGGGAATTTTGCCAAATGTCAGGAAAACCCTGGATGTATGGCAACACGATGGAAACAGCAGCGGAAATATGGCAACCCTAATCTGTGCTGGAACGCAGGTGCTTGTCTGATGTTGCGTGGATCCTGAGTGTTGCAATTTTCAACATTTGTGAAGAAGAACAAATTGGCTCGGCCATTGTTGCATGTACGAAAGCAGCTCTGGGTTCATTGAAATAGTTAAGCAAGCTGAGTATTCAGTGTATGCAGTTAATTTTCCCTCCCTTGGAGTTAATAGGAAACTTTGAAAGATAGGAAGATTCACAACTTATTCACACGTTCCCTTCTGAACTTTCTTTTTCAAGCAAGAAATGTCCATGGAGTTGATGGAACTCACTCACAGTTTCAATGTCCTACCAAGCCTCCCTTCTCCTGCAGCTTGTATTAATCTTATTAAGACCAACTTGAACACCTAAGTTCATCTGTTTTCCATGGACTGTAAAATCTTGGATGCATGGTGATGCAACCTTCAGAACACAGAATGTTAATCAGCCAAAGGCCTGGTTGAAAAAGAACGTTTCCACCTGGCGCTGATGTATAATGAACGTGTCAGGCGATCCTCTTTGGGGTGGCCATTGCAGAAAAGGTCCATTCTCATGTTGCCATCCTCCGGACCTCTTGTGGAGGAGGCACACTATGAAGGGCCTCAGATTATGATCACAGGGTCTGGACTCTGTCATATGGAGAGAAGCAGCCCTTGAATTATTGCAGTCCTGAGCTGTTTAAGGCTTGATAGATCAAAACCAGCACTTTGAATTGGGCCCAAAAACTAATTGGCAGCCAGTGCAGTTGGGCCAGGATCTGTGCAATGCGCTCAAACTGTCTTGCACCAGTGGAAGTTTCCGAACTGTTTTCAGAGGCGGCCCCCATGCACACATAACACATTACAATAATCTAACCTAGAGCTTAGCAGAGCATAGACGACAGATGTTAGACTATCCCTATCCAGGTAGGGCACCAGCCCAAGCTGATGCAAGGCACTCTGTGCCATCGAGGCCACCTGAGCCTCAAGTGACAGCAATTGATCTCGAAATATTCCCGAGCTATGTACCTGCTCCTTCAGAGAGAGTGTAACTCCATCAAGAGCAGGCAAGCTCCCATCCATCTGGTCTAGGGAACGACCCACTAACTGTGGCTTCTTGCACCAAGCTAAGAGTTTCATCTGTTGCTCCGCCCACATTTGTCTGCAGCTCTGGTCCTCATTAGGGACACGGGTGGCACTGTGGGTTAAACCTCAGAGCCTAGGACTTGCTGATCAGAAGGTCGGCCTAGGACTTGCTGATCAGAAGGTCGACGGGGTGAGCTCCCGTTGCTCGGTCCCTGCTCCTGCCAACCTAGCAGTTTGAAAGCACGTCAAAGTGCAAGTTGATAAATAGGTACCGCTCCGGCGGGAAGGTAAACGGCGTTTCCATGCGCTGCTATGGTTCGCCAGAGGCGGCTTAGTCATGCTGGCCACATGACCTGGAAGCTATACGCCGGCTCCCTCGGCCAATAAAGCGAGATGAGCGCCGCAACCCCAGAGTCAGCCACGACTGGACCTAATGGTCAGGGGTCCCTTTACCTTTACCTGGTCCTCATTGGCAAGCAGCTACATGGCTATCTATTGGGGAATGTGGTCCTAAAGGAGATTTCCCACCCCTTCTATAACCATTTTTACCTGTCCAAAATGGTCTGCTTAGGTCAATGGTGTAGAGTGTCTGAACTCTTATATCCAATATAATTCAGGTCCATACTCATATCTGTTTCCTCATTTCCTTCTCCATCTGTTGCTCACCCAACATAGTCCCAACAACAAGGCATTCCCTGACAGATGGGGGTATTCTAGAAGACTTGAGCTCACCATGGCTTATGCCCATGGTTACATGTTAGAAGGTACCCAAGTGGTTTTTGTTTATATAACCCATGTCAATTGTAGCTATACAAATGGACTGTATTGCAGTCTGCCCATTTGTTATTTATTTGAGTCAGGTGGTATGGCCTCTTCAAAGTCAATGTTTCCATACGCACTCTGGACGGAAAAGTTGTTGAGCTTTTGTTTGGCAAATTCACGAAACAGAACATGGGTTGACATACATCCAGACACTGCTTCCGACTGCAGTATTCCAGATACATCAGGGAAATTCAGGACGTATGGCAACCTTACACTCAGACAATTGCCAAGCTACATTTCCATATGAGGTCTAGTAGAATACCCGGGGCAGATTTGCATGATTCAAGGAACTGCAGAACTGATTCCAGTATCTATTTTTGTTTCTCTCATCCATTTCTGGTAAGATGTGCAAGCTGTAACCTCTCCTTGTAAGGAAGAGATGCAAATCAAATACCCTCCTTGCACAAACAAAAACCACGAAAAGAGGCATGAGTCACTTGCGCATCCTCTTTTCAACACATAATGTAATGTGCAAAGCAACCTTCAAGATGCCATCTTCAGAAAACATGTTCCTTAAAATGCCAGTGCGTTCCAGGCATCCTGCTGGATTTCTGCCTTGGATTGTCATTTAGGAAACAAAAATACATATCCAGTCACACTTAGGAATGGTGGGCTGATTCAAATATGTGAGCCTTGGTTGTGGTAAGTTATTGCTTCATTGTTTGAATAAGTGATGAAGCTTCATTGTTTGAATAAGTGATGAAGCTTCATTGTTTGAATAAGTGATGAATAGTGATATATAAACTTTGTCCTTATTGTCTGATCTGCAAGGACTGTTTTGTAACTGCAACCCATCATTTGATGTTGCCGTTGTTGACCTAAGTCTGGCGGATCTCAGGGCGCGGCTCCGTCAAGTGGCCCCTGAAGACATGTTTATACAAAACTTCCTTTGCTTCTTCTTGGCAACCTGTTTCTTAACTAGGTCAGATAGGAGGCTAGATAAAATGTGATGTTGTGTTTAGCATGTTGGACTAGAACTGGGGAGACCCAGGTCCATATCACCACTCAGTCGTGCTTTGAGGGTAAAATTGGCAGAGGGGAAACTATGGGCATTGCCCTGGAAGGAAGACCAGGGTATCAGTATTGTTACAAAGGTTGCACACCACCTCCAGTCTCTGCTGAGTGAAAATAAGATTCCTGGGGTTCCAGGCACTCAATCAGGGTTGTGTTTCCACTGGGAAAACCGAGACGCCATGGAGGCTAGTACCTTTAAGAAATATGGCTCATTTTACACGCATATGTACCTAAAGCAGTGGTTCTCAACCTGTGGGTCCCCAGATGTTGTTGGACTACAACTCCCACCATCCCTGAGCTCTGGCCTTGCTAGCTAGGGGTGATGGGAGTTGTAGTTCAACAACATCTGGGGACCTACAGGTTGAGAAAAGCTGACCTAAAGTCTTCTGTGGAGGGGTTGCAGGACATTATACTCCTAGAGTAGCTCTCATTGCCGCTCTCATAACTTTGGCAAGTTTGGGTCTAAAACAGTCGTCAGTCATGGCTCCCGGTCTCTCAATGTAGCCTCCTCCAGCCAACACTACATTGAGTTCTGCCCACTTCCTCCTTTTCGTTCCCAGAACACCTCTGGATTTTAAGAAGGATGCATTTTTCTGTCACATCCTGCCCCCGTCACCTTGGCAACCTCCCAAATCTCCTGGTCCCATCCACTCCTTGGAGCAGGGGCAAAGGATAGCTTTGTTCAATTCCAGTTGCCCTTAATGGCCCAATACTTGGTTTTCCATTGTTTTTCAACAGTCCTGCATGTAGCTAGAATCCAGAAATTTCTTGCCTGGCACAGTACTGCAGTTTGTGTTTTCCCTTTATTTCCCAAATATTATCTCAATACCACCATTTATTAATTTCAACCATTCGCTTGACAGGCTCTGGTACCTTAGATCTATGACGAGATAACTGAATAATTTGAGGTGGAAGATTAACTGCTGCCATTTGTTTCCCCTTCCAGTTTTTCACAAGGAGACTCACAAAGAGAAAAGCACAGCACAAACCAAAATGCAGAGGTGAGTGTACATTTTTTTTGGGTATGGCTTCTTGTCATTCGGAAGACACTTTGCTTGCAAGCCCCCCCCCCCCAATTGATCTAGAAGTCAATGCAACACTGTGTCTTAGAACTGGGGAAGAAAATCTCACTCTTTCATAACCTTCTAGTCAAGTTTTAAACCCTCTTCTGTTCAGAGAAGCAAAAATACAGGCAGTACGTGAAAATATCTGTCACAGATTTGAAATACTACCCTGAGTCAGCCTGCTGAATTGGGGCGGGCTTGAGGGAACAATCAGGCTTCCCTCAGGTCCATTCCTGGGGGATTTAAAACAGCCCACACCAGCCCCAGACTCCCAGCCCTTCTTCGTTTGATCAACCCACCCATCTACTTGGGTAATTTTGCATTTACTCATTAAATTGACCTTGCTATGGCTGCGGTGGTTGCCATATTTGTGGGGCCAAGAAAAGAATTGGCTATGACCTGGAGGTTTTGCCTACTCTGTAGAATCATCACAACTTTGGCAATTTAGGCATTGGGCAACCTTAGCCTTAGTTGGAGGCGGGGGGTGGTGGCATTGTCTAAAACAGGGAAAGGGAACATTTGGCTCTTAAGATGTTGCACTCCAAATCCCATAAGCTCCAACCCACATGACCAAAGTTGAGGGATGATGTGAGTTGGAGTCCAACAAGGAGGGCCATAGGTTCCTCACCCCAGGTCGAAAAAATAAATCATGATTAATACTATCTGCTAATTTTGGCAGATCCAGTTAAGTTTCGGAACATGGAATGATTAAAAAAAAGTTGTCAACAAAGCCTGAAACACGCTATCCCTTTTATTAAACGGTGAAAATTCTCCCCATCTGACACCTCTTTCTCCTTCCTCCTCCAGTATGAAGAGCACCTGTTCTTTGCATTTATGAAGAAAAGCAATCAAATTAGAGGAACAATTTCAGCGGCCTTCTCAATAACTGTGTTACGTCTCTTGGGGCGAGTTGCTCTTACTTTGGTGAATAGTTGCCACATGCCAGTAATTCTCATTGATTTAAAGGACTATTCACGAGGTCAAGTTTTTTGAGGGCAAGCCCCTACTACAAAGCGGCCTGGAGGGAGAGAGAAGAGTGAAAAACAGTCTACAGTCAGTTTCAATCTCCTTCGGAATTGACGAATGTGCTCATTAGATGTTGCAGTACGTGCTGTGGGAGCTGCTTTGCCATAGATTCATCCCACAGTGTTCTTGCAAACATTTAAAGGTCCACAGCCACCAGGGTAGGGACCTGGGCAGCTTGGATCTTTCCTACAGAATCATCACCCTCCCTGTTGGTAGGTTGGTAGTTCCACAAACTTCTGGTGGGCTTTTAAACATTTGTGGCAGCTTTGTGGGATAAGCCAATGGAAAACGGTGATTCTGTCATGTGTGAGGGACACAAAAAGAAACTCCCCTGTGCACAGATGGTGTACTAAGGCCCCATCTGCACTTTAAAACAGTACCATACCACTTTAAACCCGGTGAACTGTAGTTTGTAAAGGATGCTGAGAGTTGTTAGGAGACCCGGTGTTCTCCTCACAGAGCTTCAGTTCTCAGAGCTGAAGTCAAGCCCACTTCCCAGGGAATTGTACTCTGGGAAGGGAAGAGGTGTTTTCCAACAACGCCCAGCCCTCTTAACAAACTACAGTTCCCATGATACTGTTCTTGGCTGTTTAAAATGATGTGAGTGACCTTGGAGGCCAATTCTGGATCTACACAGTGGAGACATAGGTTTCTGGGTGGGAGTTGATCACAGTGAGGGTTTGCCAAGCGTGCCTTCCTCTTAGCACGTTTCTCCCTTTCGTCCTGAGTTCGAGCGTCTTCAAAGTCCATGACACCTTTGGTGCCTAAGTTTTGTTATTTGAGGGTCATCTCATGTATAATATGTCACTTTGTCAAATCCAAGTGCATCCCAAAAGTTATTGAATGGAAAAGATTTTGTTTGGATATTTGTTATCTATTTTATTGTTTGTGTCCCCCTCCTCCTTATGAGCTGTTACTTTTTATTACTGAGGAATAAAAAGTCCCTGACTTGCCATGGACAGAAACCTAACCCTTAGACAATTCTCAGGTTTTATCGCATAGTTTGATTTTTCTACCTGGAGACAGCACGCATTGTTTCTGTGGCTGAAGCACTCAGCAAAGTTATTACGAAGCAAGCTCAACTGCATTTTGTGAGACTTGCTTTTGTTGAAATGCATTCAGCATCCGGTTTTAATTCTTTTCCACAGAGTTTGTGAGAGCCTGTTACAGATTAGTAGACTCTTTCTGCGATAGCCTTGGGTTTATTTTCTATCATCTTAGCTAGTGTCGTTAAGTTGTTTTTTTGCCAGCACTTTTAAATGCTCAGAGACACTGTGTGCCACAGAGTGAGCTGGTCAGTAAATCACACAGTTTGAAAGCACGACCTTCACAGAGTTGGCCTAATAAGCACAGCAGCTTGTTCCCTGTAGGTCTTATCCCAGGAAATCAGTTGCTGAGACTAAAGGTCCCTGTCTCCCCAAACCCTGCCTCCTCCTCTCTGTGGCTTCTTCCAACCAATCAGACAAGCAATCAGAGACTGAGCCTGCATGCAGCCAGTCTCTCTTCCACCCTTTTCATGTCTCTTCTGGTTCTGGGAGACAAGCGGTGAGGGGAGCTTATCTCAGCAGGAGTGGGAGATACCTGTGACTCTTCAACTGTCTAACTCATCTCTGCCTCCTGACCTCTCTCCTCCCACTCACCTGCTTTAGCAGCAGCTTCTTCTTCTTCTTCTTCTTCTTCTTCTTCTTCTTCTTCTTCTTCTTCTTCTTCTTCTTCTTCTTCTTCTTCTTCGACTTCTCTCTGCCACAGTCTCCCCCAGCTCACTAAACCTTGTTGCCTCTTCAGCTTCCAATACCTCCTCTTCCCTGTCTTTCCCCTCTGACCACTCAATGTTGTCCCATCACCACTCCTCCTGTGGATGCAATTGAAAAAGAATGAGAAAGGACACTGAGCCAGGCTGTTCCCTTGTAGAGTCCCCCCCACAGATCCAGAATCACCTATATTCTTCTTTCCTAGATATACTTGAGGAAACCCCTTCATTGGCTTCATCCACATGGGGAAATTGGGTCTGTCATCTGTTTGCCATTTAGAATTCCTAACGTTACTTAGAAAGATATAATGACATGTTCTTGTTATGTACCAATCCCATTATTTATATGAGAATAATACCATGAACGCTACAAAATGCCAACTGTTTGTCGTTTATTTCTTCTACTGAAGTCCAAATTCCTGCTGGGCACGCCTCATTTCTGAGGCGTAACAAGGAGTCAAGTTAACATCCATGGTGGAGCTTAAAAACCTGCGTGGGATTCTGTGAGGGGACTGTTTATTTAGGCCCCCGGAAAACATGAAAGTTGGTGAGGAGCATGAGAAGTCTTTCCCATCTGTATGAAATTTTGTCTTAGTATTCTCAGAGGGTGCATTTGGGAGAAGCATGTAAATTAAAGACATCTTGTTGCTGATGTAACGCAGGAAAGTGCTGGGATGTTAGAATCTGTGTGTGCTAAGATGTGCTGAGGAAGAAAACAATCCCAACTCTTGGTACATGAAAGTAGAGGACAGCTCAAGTAGAGAAAAGATGCCAGAGAAGGCTTTTCAAGAATTTTAAATATATATAATAGGCCTGAATCCATAATGTGCTGGGGAACCGTGACTCTCCAGAAACTGAGGGACTCCAACTCCCATCAGCCCAAGTCAATACATTTGATGGTCTCAGGTATGATTGACGCTGTAGAACAACAATGGCTGGAGAGTCACAGGTTCCCTGTTGCTTAATAGAGAGAAGGGGAACATGTTGAACAGCAAGCAGAAATAGGAAAACGACACAAAGCTAAGGAATAATAATAATAATAAATTCAGTCATTTCAAGAGATCCCATCTTCAGACACTGGCCCACAAAACAGATTTTATTGCGTGTTTTGCACATCACATTTCTGCTCACAAAGGGTGGTAAGGGTGAGAACCATTGAACATCTGATGAAATATTTGAAAGCAGCAATCTGGCAAAAGTTATTGTCAAAAGCTGCTGTTGAATATACCTCGGGTAACGTGAAAGGAAGATACCCAAACAAGGGATCCTGGTTTGTTTTGTTTGAACAAACCATGATTGGTAAGCCAAGAGAAGACCTTTGCTTAGCCCCATGTTTGGTGTGATTGGGTTGATTTGATTGGGCTGGTTTTTATTGATTGGGGGGCCAGCTGCCCCTCCCTGCCCCTTCCGGCTACACCCTTGGGTGCTATGAAGACACACTCCGCCGCTACTCTTGTCCCATTAGCAGCATCTTGTACTGCATCAGTCCCAACTAGCACAGCCTAAAGCAGGCATAGGCCCTCCAGATGTTTTGAGACTACAACTCCCATCATCCCTGACCACTGGTCCTGCTAGCTAGGGATGATGGGAGTTGTAGTCCCAAAATATCTGGAGGGCCGAGTTTGCCTATGCCTGGCCCAAGGTTCAGGAATGATATGCTGGGAGTACCTAGAAACCCAGTGGACCACATAATCCCTTCTTTAAGGGCTGCAGCTGAGCTCTGAACTCAAACAAGTGAAGCAAAGAAATGGAAATGGAAAGGAGTTTCCATCCAAGGACTAGGGATGGACACAAATCTGTCAATTTCAGATTCTTTCTGTTTCCTATTTTTAATCGGTTTCTTATTTTTTAATTTTCAGTTCAGTTTGCCCCATTTCCCCATCAGCTTGTGATTATTACTATTTTAAACAAAGGTCCTCGCAAAAATCCACCAGTGTTCCGGCACACATTTCTCTTAATAAACACATTTTTGCAAGCCATTTCCCTATACATAATGCATTTTTTTGGTATGGCATTTTCAGGGACACACACTTTCACACATTTCAGTACATATATTTGGGTTGGGGAACAGCACCACAAAATTCAGAGAACTGCGAATTTTGAAGAATCTGTGATGTTTCCAGGAAATTAAGTCTGTTAAAATACAAACCCCATTCCTACCTGGGGCAATGGACTCCAGGGCAGGCAATTTTCATTGGAACAATGTGGAGATCAAGGGTTAACCCTCCATCTCACCATTGTCCTGATCGCTTCCCTGTGTCTCCTCCTCCTCCTCCTCCTCCTCCACCTTCCTCTTCATCAGATGAAAGCCATGCATTTAACATGGTTTCACTTGGCCCTGAGGCAATGCCACCCTAAACATTATTTCCTCACTGTGCTTCACATTTACACAGCAATCTGTGTTAGTGGATGATCTGACCTGTGTGTTTATTGCCCATCACTGCATCAATAAACCCATCAGATGTTAGTCTTGGGGGCATGTCTGCATACGGGCAGAATGATTAATGAAGTCCAGAAGCGCCATTACGTCAAATGGTCATGAGCTGCAGTCTTAATGACAACGTGCTTATTTATGCCATCCTCTGCTGTCATCGCACTGGGGATTTGCGTGTGTGTCGAGATGAAGCGTGCGGCTTGCTTTTGCTCATAATTCGTAACAGAACCAAAGGACTCACCAGGGTGCAATGCCCTAACATAACATGCTCTTAAATAAACCTAGGCACAGGATGGTGTAAAGCAATAGCAGAACGCATGTATGTTTTCTCCAGCACGGATAAACAAGAGAAGGGAAGATGGAGGAAGAGAATTTAGGCAATATGGCTAGAGCAGTGGCAGACCTGGAGGTGCAGGTCAAATCTGTGTCCAGGGCAACTATCTATAAGCTCCATCCGGTAAGGTGGCTAAGACCCTACCTGCCTACAGACTGTCTCATCAAAACGGTGCATGCTTTAGTTATCTCCCGCTTGGACTACTGCAATGTGCTCTACATGGGGCTACCTTTGAAGGTGACCCGGAAACTACAACTGGGGAAACTCAGCCAGATGGGCGGGGTATAAATAATAAATTATTATTATTATTATTATTACAACAAATCCAGAATGCGGCACCTAGACTGGTGACTGGGAGTGGCCGCCAAGACCATATAACACCGGTCCTGAAAGACCTACATTGGATCCCAGTACATTTCCAAGCACAATTCAAAGTGTTGGTGCTGACCTTTAAAGCCCTAAACGGCCTCGGCCCAGTATACCTGAAGGAGCATCTCCATCCCTATCGTTCAGCCCGGACACTGAGGTCCAGCTCTGAGGGCCTTCCCTCATTGCAAGAAGCAAAGCTACAGGGAACCAGGCAGAGGGCCTTCTCGGTAGTGGCACCCGCCCTGTGGAACACCCTCCCACCAGATGTCAAAGAGATAAACAACTACCTAACATTTAGAAGACATCTGAAGGCAGCCCTGTTCAGGGATGTTTTTAATGTGTGGCATTTTAATGTATTTTTAATCTTTGTTGGAAGCCGCCCAGAGTGGCTGGGGAAACCCAGCCAGATGGGCGGGGTACAAATAATAACTTCTTCTTCTTCTTCTTCTTCTTCTTCTTCTTCTTCTTCTTCTTCTTCTTCTTCTTCTTCTTCTTCTTCTCCTTCTTCTTCTTCTTCTTCTTCTTCTTCTTCTTCTTCTTCTTCTTCTTCTTCTTCTTCCAAGCAACCCTTGCTTAAGACTCCCTTTTTCTGTCACCTCAAACACATGCCCCATCACCTTGGGAACATCTGTCTCCTCAGGCCCAGATATTCCTCTCAGATGGCCCATCAACCCCTTTTGTCATGTTTAGGCCAGCCAGGCTGGTTTTCATAAGCCAGCCTGGGGGTTCCTTGTCTGGCACAGTTCTGCAGCTAACAGCAGGTAAGAATCATGTCCATTGCATCACCCACTTTGGGCCTCTGGCTCCATCTACCACCGACATGTGGTTGTCCTCTGCTGACCTCTGGCACTTCCTGGGCCTGCTGCTCATCTTCCTTGCAGCTGCTGCCTGTTCACATGCCCTCTCCAAGGGAGTAAGCAATGAGAGAAAGCAAAGATACGTAGTGAGCACCTCACAACTTGCCCTTGGAGGTGGTGCAGGAGTGGGCCTGAAGGAACGGGCAGAAGGAGGAGTGTCAAGGAGAAAATCAACACACTTACTTGTCTTGCCTGAACTCATAACACCATGGCTGCTCCTGGCCTAAGTGAATGTTTCCTGAAGGCCTCACAGGTTCTTTCGGATGAACAAAACAAGGAAGGTCCGTGGTTGCCGTATTTCAAAAAGTAAAAACCAGGACACCCCAATGTTGTTGATCATTTTTTATGAAAACACCAAAAAATGTTGGAGAGCTGTTGTCAGGCAGTGCAGATAGTACTAAGCTAGCTGGACTGACTTGGGCAGCTTCTATGGTCCTGAACCCCTAACACATAGTTTGCTTCAGTGCCTTGCAAAAAATACTTTTTCCTGGCAGAAAGAAGTACAGGAAGGAAAAAAGTTCAAAAAATAGAGCCCCTCCAGTCATCCCTTGGCAACAGATGCCTCTTCTTTTGTCCTCGTGCTGTTGGATTTCCTTAATTCATGCAACACGCTGTTTGGCTTGGAATGACTCATCTCTTTGCCCTTTCAGTGTCTACTTTGTTTCTAAGAACAGCACGAGCTGAAGACATTTTGCCGCCTGAGGTCAAGGAAAAGATGGTGGCCCCGTCCATTCCAATTGGACTTGGAAGCTAGTCCTTACTCTAACATGGACAAGGGGCAGTCTTGTTCAGTATACCCAAAGGCAGTAGGGTAGCAAAAGGGCTGGAGAAAAGGCAGAGAAGGAAACAACTGATACCATCCTCACCACATCTGCCACCCGAGGCCACCGCTTCACTCTGCCAAATGCCAGGGCTGGCTTTAACAGAGACCCGGAGGCCAGA